CTTTGTGGTGATCGAGAAAGAAAGCTAGATTTGGAATAGGGAGACCTGGAATCCCAAGTCTGCCATTTACCTCTGGGTATGTAACTCATTTCTCTGGACTTGAGTTTCCTTATATGAAAATGAGAAGGGAGAACTAAATTATTCTAAAATTCCTTGCAGCTCTAAACTTAGGACGCTACATTTAACCACACATCTCAGGAGCATAATTGTTAATTAAATCCACTCTACCTAATGGTCAGTCCAATGCCCAATCCCCTAATACCTCTCTTCACAGTAGAATAAATGAATTCAGCTCATATTAACATACCTTTCATTAATCCCCTATACCAATTGGACTTATACGTCCACAACTGGCTTTGGATAAGACACCACAAAACAAACCAAAAAATCCCTCACATTCCAAATCTTACAGTCTTCCTCTGGATTAGCAAGGAAATATCTTTCTCTGTCTCTCTGTCACTGTCTCTTTCCATCTCTCTCTCTCCAACTTATTTCAGATTTGTAATCTTATATAAGTGTAGGTAACTCCTTCAAAGTCTAAAACAGATTATCTCCCGGCTAAGCCTACTTCTGCTCTGCCTCCCATAAGTCTTTCCTTACTCCACTGCATACTCCATTTGACCACAAAAGTGATTTTCTGAAAGTGCAGGTCTGACTGTGACAATCCGTTATTCAATCAACTCCCGTGACTCCCTATGACCTATGGAATCAAATACAAAATCCTCTGTTTGGCATTCAAAGCCCATCATAACTTATCAGCCCTCCCCAATTTTCCAAGTCTTCTTATATACCTTACACCTTTCCACATACCATTTGATTCAGTGATACTGGTTTCCTTGCTGCTCCTTAAACAAGACATGCCACCTCCTGGATCTGGCCATTTTCACTGGTGGTCTGTCATGCCTAGGATGCGTTTTCTTCTCATCTCTACTAGCTGGTCTCCTTCACGTCCCAGCTAAAATCTCATCTGCTACAGGAAGCCTTTCCAACTACCTGAACTCTAATGCTTTCCTTCTGTTAATTATTCCCTGTATATAACTTGTCTGCATGTTGTCTCCCCCCTAGATTGTGAGTTCCTCCAGGGCAGGAACTATATTTTGCCTTTCTTTGTAGCCCCAGAACCTGGCACAATACCCAGCATGTAGTAGGCACTTAATAAATGCTTGTTTTCCTTTCTTCTAATGTAAAGAGTATGCATTGTGTCTGACAGATTTATAGGATGACATGAAAAGGGTAATATCAGATTGGAAGGCATAGAAGGGTTTTAGTCTGAGGTGTTAGATGGAGTGCCCTCATTAACAAGAACATAGATCCATCGAAATATTGACGTAAGTGATAAGTTTATTATGTATTCCCCACTTGTAGCTGCCATAACGTAGTGGCATAATAGAAATAACAATACATTTACAACCAAGGAGACCTGGTTCAATCCTGTCTTTGGTACATACTGGCTGCCTCACTGTGGAAAAATCATTTGCTCTCTTGCCTCAGCTGTGCCCTCTGTAGGGGGGCAGTAATAATGCTTATATCACCTCCACAAAGTGGTAAAAAATGCACTTGATAGACTTGGAGGCACTCTATAATAATAACAATCATTATTAATTATAATAATCATTATTAGCTACAAACTTGCTTAGTGTCAGACACTTAATAATCTGTATTTATATGGCAGCTGTGTGGCATAGTAGAAAGATCACTGACTCTCAAGTCAGAGGACCTCTGATGGGATCACTACCTGCATGATCTTGGTCAAGTCATAAACCTCCCTGTGCCTCAGTTTCTTCATCTGTAAAATGGTTGGTTTGGACTAGATGCTCTTTGATGTCCCTTCCAACTTTAGATACATAATTCTATGACTCATATTTATCGGTGTGCGTGAATTCCCTCCTTGATTCCCAAAGGCATCAAAATTAAATGTAATTTTTTGATATTTCTTTTTCTAATCCTCAAAAGGAGGTCAGTATGTTCTGGTAGTTGCTTTTTCACACACACACACACACACACACACACACACAGCCAATGACTAGGGAGAATGGAACTCTTCCCAAATGAGCCAAGTTCTCAGATGCTGCCATGATTGTGAAACACTGGCATTTTTGGCTCTCCCTTTGAGAGTCAGACTTGGAAGAGTTGCTCATGGACATATTGGAAGGTGGTGAGAACGAAGTTTATTGCTCAATAGACATCACTGACACTCTTCTTAGGACTCAGTGCTTGGCGTGTGTGTGTGTGTGTGTGTGTGTGTGTGTGTGTGTAAGAATATGGGTATCTGGATCTAACAGGTTCAGGAAGGCTTTTTTATATTTTCTCACATCACAGAAGGAGTAGAGAAATATCAAAGGATACTTTTTTCATTTTAATAACACTTTGAGGGGGTAGGATTTAATTCAAAAATTTAAAATTGACATTGGTCTGTAGATTTTTTCTCTTTCCCATGTTCAGGCATTAGGATTATATATGTCTCACAAGGAGTTTGTTAGAGTGCCTTCTTCCTAATTTTTTAAAAGAATAATTTGTGTTGTATAGATATTTATTATTTAAAAGTTTAATAGAATCTGCCTGTAAATTTATCTGGGTCAGGTGTCCCTTCCACCCCCACCCCTGCCTTAGAATAATAATTTTAAAATTCAGTACAAGTTACTTTACAGAGCAGTACTCCAATAAGGCCAAAAAAGGTTTTAAAAATTAAGGCACTAAGTTTTATTTTCTTTTTCTTTCTTTTCTTTTTTTAATTTTTTTAAATTAAATGCATATCTAGCTCCAGAAGTTTGAAAGACCAGAGGTGTGTCTGGTAAATATTTACTTAGGACACAACGATGCTGCCAATTCAACCTGAGGCACTTTGCATGAGATGCCCAGGGCACTGAATGGTAATACTCTAGGAATCATATAAACATGGCATTGTCTATCAGAACAGGACCGAGCAGAGGGTGGGGCCACAGGGTGATTTCAGGTATTTTGAAACCTTGCTATTAAAAAAATAAATAAATAAACCAAAGTGCTGCAGGGAATTAAATGTGTCCCAGGGATCTCCTAACCATGATTTTCTTCCTCAAGTTGGTGCCAATCTATGTCTCACCCTGTAGCTGACTCACTTAAAGACTGAGATCATTGTCATTTATAGTCTCCTCTCTCAGGACACACACTGGGTACGAATGCCTCCATAAATCTAGGGCCACATACTTTGTAATCTTGTGAGAATTCTGTGCTGGTGGGGACAAGTACAAAGAATGTCATGGGTTCCCTTTGCTTCCACCTCTATAGGATGAATGACTGACCGAAAAAAGAATTTAAGTGCTTACTACTTACCTAATATTGTACTAAGTGCTTGTGATTCAAAGAACTTACATTCTAACAGAGAAGTTTTAGTAGTAAGCCAGATAGAAACACCCAGTGATCCTTTGGATGCAGAGGCAAAGCAGATGGTGATCTTCTTGAATGTCATTTCCATTGTTAATACCATATCTCTCCATGATGTTGAACCTCTGCGTGGTACCAAGAGGTTTGGTGCTGAGAACTTTGTTTTCTGGATCATCACTGCCCTGAATCTGGGCAGCTACCTAAAATTTTAAGTTGCAGAGAAGGTCGCAAGCTCCGGTGGTAAGGGCAATTCCCTCTGCTAATGAAATCACAGGTCTAGATTCTTATCTCATTCAATTTCTCCTCATCCAATCTAATCCACTATTTTAGTCCACAGCGATCTTTTGGCACTTAAATTTTATCATCCATTATATCAAGCTAACCTTACCAACTTCCTACCTACCAGTTTGATGAGCACGTTTTCTGTTTCTTGTTATCATTCTTAGCTCCTCCTAACCAGAGATCTAACTGGGAAGAGGGTCAGGGATGAAAACCTTCAAAAGGGAGGCAAGAGAGCAAATGAAAAGTTGGACAGTACGGCAAGTGGAAGCTTTCATGAAACAAAGGTGAAGTTCAGGGTTCTCTTTGGAGTTATATCATAGACGTGTGTGCTGTCCCCAGTCTCACCTCCACAATAATGATGACTCTAGGCATATGTAGCCCTCTTTTGCACAAGGTTTTCACTAAAGAATATGGGCCAAAATACATGGACTAGGTATACCTATAAAATAATCAGAAAGGTTGCTTACTTGGCACATAGAATTACTTATTTTATAATGAGACCTTGAATAACAGAAATTATTTTATGTATTATGGCAGTCCCTAAATTATGGACATTGGCATTAATGGAGAGGGAACAGTGCTTGGGAGATGGAAAGATCTGAGTTCTAATCTTGCCTGAGATACTTATTAGTTGAATGACCACAGAGGAAATCTAGCTCAGCACCTGTCTAAACAGAAATCGTTTCTACAACATCCTTGGCAAGCAAGTGGCCATTCAACCTTCACTTTCAAGCCTCCAGGGATAGAGAATTCCCTCCTTCTGCATCATCCCATTTCACTTTTCCACAGCTCTAATTGTTAGAAAGCTTTTTGGTTATATTAATCTTGAAGTTGCTTTTTCACAACCTCCCCCCTTCCCATCTCTTTCACAACCTTAAACCCAACTCACTCTGGAGCTCATAGATTGGACAACAAAAGGTCCCTGCCCAAGCACGACTTAAAGGTTATTTTTTGGGCCCTCCTGGCACAGAGTGAATGTAAATAGTAACCGTTTCTCTTTTGGCCAGCAACCCCAAAGATCTTCCCCTCCTACTTTCTTTTTTTTTTTTTTTTTTTTATTAAAGAGGTCATCCCTTGACTCACTTCTTAAAGAGGCCTATTCACTGAATGGGGTGCTACCTCACTCAAAGTGAGAACCTGAAAAGACCTTAGCTTAAAAGGGCCAAGATCTCCCATTGCATCCTGGGTCATCTCCAGGATGAATTTCTGGCCACCGGACCCAGATGGCTCTGGAGGAGAAAGTAAGGCTGGTGACTTTGCACAGCCCTCCCTCACTCAAATCAAAGTTAATTGCAAGTCATGTCATCATCTCCCTGATGTCATGGTCCTCTTTAAGAGTGAAAGACAAACACAACAACCAAATTTAAAAAGTTTAATGCCTCTTCTAAAGTCGGAGCTTGGATCTTCTTAGAGTCAGCTTGGGTCAGGTTACACATAAGACATTTTACAGCTTAAGTAGACTTCTGAGCGCAAGCCTAGAGACACAGCCGCCATTTGTATCATTGCTGCTATGCAGTAATACGTCCCGAGAAATTTTAGATCACAATCTGTTCCTAGTCAAGGAAGAAAACAACCAATCAATTTGGGCACTGTGTCTTATAAGTCTTTTGCATTTCCCATAATACTTAGCACCTAACACACACTTAGTAAATATTCATAGAGTTGTTATTTCATGTTCCACTGGCTAGTTAACTGGGTTGGCATGTGATTCTTAAATCATCATCTTTATAAAGTATTTGTTAAATGGCCTTGGAGGATACAGATCCAGAATGGAAACCAAATCTGTTAAATGTGGCTCTGTTTGCCAAGAAGCTCTCTCACTTGGTACCAAGCTTAGACGGATGGACAACTATCTGTTGAAGACGCTAGAGAGCTTTTCACATAGTAGGCAAGTTGACCTCATATTTGTTATCTGTGTGACCCTAAGTAAGAAGGTTAGACTAGGCTGTAACTAAGGCCCCTTTAGTTCTAGAACCTATATACCTACAGCAAGGGTCCTAAATCTGGGGCCCATGGACCCCAAATGGGTCAGTGGGTAGATTTCAAGAGGTTCATGAACTTGGTTGGAGGGAAAATGATGTTTTTATTTCAAAATAATTGATTCTCTTTTAAGCTCTTTACAACCTGGACCCTTCCTTCCTTTCCAGTACTCTTACAGTTGACTCCCATGATCCAGTAATACTGGCCTACTTTCTTACACATGGCACTCCAACTCCTGAGTTTGCATCTCTTCACTGGATCTCCCTCATACCTGAAATGTTCTCCTTTCTCTTCATTCCTCTGGTTTCCTTGGCTGCCTTAGAGTCTCAGCTCAAATTTCACCTTCTATAAGAGATCTTTCCTGGTCCCCCCCAATGCTAGTGCTTTTCCTCTCAGATTATCTCCAATTTACCTTGAATATTTCTTGTATTTACATAGTCTTTTGCATATTGTCTCCTCCCTTACACAGTGAATTCCTTCAGGGGAGGACTGTCCAGAGCTCAGCACAAGGATGCCTTGCAAACAATGGTTGTTCAGTGGTGTCCCACTCTTCGTGACCTCATTTGGGATTTTCTTGGTAGAGATACTTGGAGTGGTGTGCCATTTCCTTCTCCAGCTCATTTTACAAATGAGGACTCAGACAGACAGGGTTAAGTGACTTGTCCAGGGTCACTGAGCTACTAAGTATCTGAGGCCAGATTTGAACTTATAAAGATGAATCTTACTGACTCCAAGCCTGGCACTCTATCTATGGCACCACCTAGCTGCCCAACAATAACCACTTGATAAATACTTGTTTGTTTACCTTAACTATGTATTTTACTTTATGCAATTAAAAACATTAACCTGAGAATGGATCCATAGATTTCAACTGCACCAAAGGGCTTCATCATATGCATCATATGTGCACATACGCGCGCACACACACACACACACACACACACACACACAATTAGAAACCTTGTCCTAGAGCTAAGGGAACAGACCCACAATACAACTAATCTGTAGGGAGGGCATCAGAGAAGAAAGCTTAATTACAAACCCCCACCATCTCTTCAGACACACCAGGAAGTATCAGTTAGGATGGAAAACAGAAAGAGGACTTTCCTAAGGCGTAGTTAGTCTTGGGAACGCTAGACTTAAAATTATGTGCTCAGTTATACCTCCTCTCATTCCCAGCATCACAGTTATTTAAAAAATCCTTACCTCCTCACTCTCTGAAAGATTTTTCAACCATTTTTCTCAGCGGCTCCTGATGGGACCAAACAGTACCTCACTTTAAATTTCTCAAGGGTTCTCCAATACTCTGTTCATTAGTTACTAACTAATAAGACATGTGCTCCTTCCAAATGTTTCCTTTACAGTTATTATGGGAATCAGATCTTCATGAGCATGACTCAAACAGACATCACTGAGACAGCTGAACACTATCTTATTGGCAGCAAATATAGCATTATTAGACTTGAACAAGGGGTTTTCATTACTGGCTAACATGGTTGGTCATATCCACCCTAAGGCAACTTGTATCTCAGTATTGTGCTTATCCTCAGGCTAGCCCATGGGCCTGGAGCCAACATGAGTTATAAAGTTACAAAAATTGCATCTGATCTATTGTGCTCACTGGAGGCAGTGACCTCTTTGTCATGAGTCATTATAAATATGGACTCCTAGTGCTTGTCCAATTGAGTCCAAAATTACTCACTAGACCTGACCCCAGAAGAGTAAATTAGAAGCAACAAGTAGAAAGGAATGGCAAAGACATAAATTTAGACTTGCTATAAGGAAAAACAAAATTTCAAAACTTCTGACAATTAGAGCCATCCCTAAGTGAAATGGACTGTTTTATGCCGTGGTGGATTCTTCCCTTTCTAAAGATCTTCCAGCAAAGGCTGGATGACCATTTGTTAGAGATGTTAGAGAGGACATTCTTGTTTGAGTATGGGTTGGTCAACATAGCTTCTGAGGTTCCCTCTGACTCAGATTATGTGATTCACCCAAACATTCAGGACTCTGAATATACAGTCTCACTCTAGCTATGTTGACCTTCTTACTCTTCTCTCAAAAACAAATTTTGTCCCAGAAAGGCAGATCTACTCATTAGCCCCAGCCTTCATGACACTTTTCCACATAATGAAATTCCCTTCCTCCCCCTTTCCCCTTATAATACTAAATCCTTGCTAATTTTTTCATGTATGATATGAAATCCTCAAGGGAAAAGACCACATCTTATAATTCTTCTGTATATCTCACAGTACCCAGCAGAACAATGGACTCGTAATAAGTGATTAATAGATAACCATTAAACAATCCATAAATGGTAAAGGCTTTTAAAAGAATGCTTTAATGTGAGACTTCTCTCCTAAAAAGGAAGCTCCCTTCACTTCGAGTGACTGATGGAAAAGAACTTTTGAACTCAGGACTCTATAAAAACATAAGGTACCCGGAAGATGCTGTTAACAGGACAAAACTGTAAAGTAGGCAGAGTTTGTCTCTAAGTCTCTTCAGCGCCTTATTACAATTGTGTCTGCTCTCCCTAGGGACAGATAGCTTTCTATCCCTATTCATCCAAACAAAATTTCCCAATCTGGAGTTCCATTCTCTCTGGTCATGTGACACTAACAAATTATCTGTGCTAAGTTATTAGGAGTCAGCCCTGGCTGTTTTTCCCCTTCCACATAACATTTACATTTTAATAGGGTCTCAATTCAAAGAAATGACTGAAGGTGGGAACTGTGCATAATGGCAGCTTTGTGGGAGGTATTTCCATGGCTGGTCCTGTACTCTATCTCTGTGTAAAGCTGGCCCTACTTATTAAAAGTCATGATGTCAAGGTAAGCAGTATGTAGTTGGGGTCATTCTTTGGTGATGTTTTCCTGCCTAGGAGACTTGACCAGGGATTACTAGTTTAAGGACAGCTGCTGAGGCAGAGGGTCTAGTTTCTTGATGAAGTCATATGGGCTGTTCTTGACAGGTCTGATTATTAAAAAAAAAAAAAGCACCATACCTCTCCTCATTCTATCGTGAACCACTGGATTTAGTAATACAATAATGTTTATTCTCCCACCTTCTAGGCAGTGTTGACAGTAACAAAATCATGGAATCTCAAAATTAGAAGGGTTATTAGAGTCCAAATCATCCAAAACACCCAAGATTGCCCTGTACAACATCCACAACAAATGGTCATCCAGACTTTGTTTGCGTGCCTCTAGTAAGAGGCGATCCTATTCATAATAGCTAGCATTTATATATCACTTAAAGGTTTGCAAATCCCTTTGCAAATAGTGTCTCACTTTATCTTCATGACAGTTCTGGGAGATAGGTGCTATTATTATTCCCATTTCATAGATGAGAAAACTGAGGAAGGCAGAGGTCAAATTATTGGCCAGGTTCTCATGGCCAGTAAGTGTCTGAAGCTGGATTTGAACTTAAGTCTTCCTGACTCCAGATCTAGCATTCTATAAGAGTTTACCCTGACATGGAGCTTTAATCTGCCTCCTTGCAATTCTCACCCATTGCTACAAGAGCTGCCCTCTAGAACAAGTTTAATCTTTTTTTCCCATAGGACAGTCTTTCAAATCCTTGAAGGCTATTATCCCCAGATAATAAGATTGTTATCTTATCTCCTCAAGACTAAAGAAAAAACAAAAAAACCAAAACCAAACCAACTTTCTTCAGCCAACCACAAAGATTTCAAGGCCATTCACCATCATGGCTGACTTCTTCTAGACACTGTCCAACTTGATCTTCACAAAATGTGGTATGTGAAACTGAACCCCAAACTGCAACTATGGTGATACAATTTTAAGTCTCAGAGGTGGGATCTGAACACAGGGTCTTTATTGACTCCCAGTTCAATATGTTTCCATAATATTACACTGATGTGTTAAGTTTGCAATGTATAAAAGCCCTCAAAACATTTCTTTTTCAGGTGATACTTTCCCATCTTGTATTTATGAAGATGCTTCTTGAACCCAAATAGAAGACAATATTCATCTCAATTAAATGTCACATTATTGGATTCAGTTCATTTATTAGATTCTACTCTGTTGAGTTTTCTTTGGATCTGGATTAGAATGTTACCTGTTACTCCTGGCTTTGTACCATTTGAAAATTTGACCAATAGGTCATTTATTTTTCTGAGTCACTGAGAAAATGTTATCTGGAATGATTCTAAGCATAGATTCCTTCACTAAAGACATCCCTTCATGTTGATTTGATTCTGTAATGGTTATGCTTTGGGTCTCACCATCTAGCAAACTCTCAACACAGAATTATACTATCTCACCCATATCTCTTCATCATATCTATAAGAATGTCATGGGAAATTTTCTCAAATTCTTTGCTGAAATTTAGGTAAATTCTATCTACTGCATTCCCCTGATCCGTCTATAATCCCATCAAAAATGAAATGAGGTTATGCCAGTATGGCTGATTTTTTGATGAAATCAAGAGACAAGAAAAAGAATAACAAAGTGGGATGGTTCACCTACGGTTTTAACAGGAAGTTTAAGGTGGTGGGATGTTTTCAGGCTTCCTTAAAAGGAAGCATGATAGTATTTCCCTTCATTCTGTTCCTAAACTCAAGCATAATTACGGGTGACACTTAATGGCTGATGGTTATTTCATCGCACTGCACTGTGGAAGTAACAGAAATTAAAGTGAAGGGTCCCCAAATCACCCAGGGACACAGAATGTCACTTAAGTTACACTGTCACCAGAGACTGCCATTCCATGTGGGCAGAGTCACCTAAGACCTAGAATGGACCCTGTTAATCCACTTTCACATGTAGGAAAGTTGATATGCTGAGGATTGTGGGAAAGAGAAATGAGGGAGGAAGGAAACTCTGACTGAATCAGGTTTTCTTGGGGTCAAGCTTTTTCCCTCACCAGAGGCAAATTTTTTTCTCAACAAATGTAATTCTTAACAACTAAGAATTGGAAATAGGAGAGATGATTTGCTCTGAGCACTAGGGTCAATCTCTGGCCCTGTTGTTGGGATATTTCAGCCTAAGGCAAGGAGTGGTGGTCCCTGGGTTTTCTTTAATAGACTCTCGAGGAGGAAACAGCTAAGCCCTGAGGAATTAATCGCACAGATGACTAGCTGACATCCAGTAAAGAGTAGGATTTTCTCCCACCCAAGGGAAAGCCAAGACAGGAGCACAGTGAGCCAAACACTGTATGTATATACATATATATATATATATATATATACATACACACATATATGTATATGTATATATATACACACATATATGTATATATATGTATATGTATACGTATATGTATATATATGTGTGTGTATATATTTTATATATATATGGTGTATATACATAAAATATATGTGTGTGTGTGTGTGTGTGTGTGTATGTGTGTGTGTGTATAAACCATATCTAGAAACATTCATTTGATCTGCTCCCCACAACTCTCCAGTCACATTCCATCCTGGTCACTCTGATGAGTATGAGGAGGAGAAAAATGAGCAGAGGTAAGGCTCTCACCTTGCCCCAAGGGAAATTAAGAGCAATTTCCAGGGCCCATCCAGTCCTCTGATTCAAATATGAAGGGTTTTGGGTAGAGATTTCTGAAGATCCCCCTCAGCTCAAGATTTATTATCTTCTATAAATCTCTACTGTTTTTTCGGTGGCTATAGGCAAAGCCCACAGATCAGATGAAATGCAGCAGTTTCTTTTTATTTCTCCCTCAAAGGAGAATACTACCATTGTCATCAGGCTCTAGATTGCTTGAAACTGTTTAAAGTTCTTTAAAGTTTAATCTGGGTAGGGTTAGAATTGGTTAAGCTTAATTTCAAGAAGAAAAGAATAAATTCTAATAGCTAGCTTTGATTTTGCAAAATATATAAGTGGGACAACCCTCTTTCAAAGTAGAAACAAGGTAAACAGTCAGATGGTTGCAGATATAAACCAAGTGTATATTCAGCTAGTGTGGTTCACAGGTGCCCTGGGACTCACAGTTTACCACTTAGCAGTATGCAAATAGGAAAGGCCTAATCCATCAAGAACATGGTCCCTTGCATATAGCAGAAAATCCAGCAACAGCTGATGAATCAACAAATAAACAACTGAGGAGCCTAGAACAGCTCAGTGTCTTTTTACTTTTTAAACAACATGGAGCATGGACTCATGAATGCCGTATTAGTCAACCCACATTTTGTTTGATTGTTTCATCTCTTCACTTTTAGGGTTACTAGTATTCCCAAACGGCTAACCTTGTTTCCTCTAAACCATATGTAATTTTAAAAAATTTAATATATAATTGATAGTTTCAATTGTATAAGTGCCAAGGTCAACCACTAAATGCTGTAACCATTAAACAATTACTTTATGCTCTTATGTCGAGAATGTTCTGCCTTTACAATGTACTTGCCAAACCCTGCAATAGGGATTTATATGCCAGTTTGTA